GTCGATCTCGAAGCGGTAGGCGTGGCTGTTGTAGGGAGAGTTGTCACGCTCTGCGGAAATAGTCAATAACGTGTTCATGAGGTGTTGGTACTGGGTGTGAGCTTACGGTCCCAGGCAAGATCGTGCAGGAGCGAGCCAACGGCGTGGAGCTCAAGATCGACCTCAGACTTGAGGGTGGCGTTGTTGTTGAACGCGGCGGCACCGAGGAGCCAAGTGCGGACAACGTGGTTGTACAGGTAGGGCTGGAGCTCCTGGAACTCCTTGACGAGCTCGTGAGCGTCACGAACGATCTGAGTGTCGACAACCTCAACACCGGCAATGACGGTGGTGGGGAGGTCCTCGTTGCGGCACTTCTTGGAGGGAGCGGCAACGGCGCTGCTGGCCAGAGCCAGGGTGGAGATGAGACCAGCGGAGAACTTCATTTTGACTAAGTGGTATAGGTAAAATGGGTACAGAGAATGGTAGTTGGTTTTGAATGAATGAATGAATGTATGTGGTGAGAGGGGTGGAGAGCAAGAAGAATTGTTGCAATATCGAGGGATCAGAAAGGTTTATATAACCGATTCGCCTCACAACTCAGCTGTGCCGTCTCGCAGAGCGTATTGCCCCATGAACATCTCCCAAGTCTTGGGTGATCCTGCACCACCCTGTCGAAAAGAGTGTCATACCAGGGTGACATGGGCCAGATACGACCAAAATAGCAATATTAGCGTCTACAGTGGATAAGGCTGACTGTCTTGGTAGCTTCTGCTGCAGAGTGTGGAGAAACCAAGAAGAAGATTAGTGTACCTTGGCCATGCAGCTGGACCACGACGGGGTTAGACAGCTTTCCGAGTTGCTCAACATCGGACTCGGACAGTCCCATGCAGTTTGGTACGATCTCATGGGTGGGCTGGGTGGCGCACTCTAGAGTTGGAGCTGAGACAATTGTATATTGTTAGGGAAATGAGCTCCAAGTAAAGCCAAGTGCTTGGTGAGTTTTTCGTCGGCGACTACGTATACGCTGGCTGCCTTCTCGTTCAATGAATCTCTATGTAAGCTTCACTTGTTGCTGTGCTGCTGGTCATGGCAATGGCCAGCAGAATGATGCTATTTTCATCACCTCTTCAATATCGGGAAAAATAGTATTATGGCATGGTCAGGTGGTGAAACTGTACACATGCTCTGGGCAATCCACCTATCACAAGTCATTGTTCGTTGCGATCTCGAACTCAGCACCCTTGTTGTTGTAGGTACCGGTAATTCCGACTAAGACCGGGGTACTTCGCGGACCCTCGAGACGGAGCCTCGACATGCTCGATTGCCATGCTAGTGCCGGTCTGACATAAGCTGCCAAGATCTGTAGAATCCTAAGAAAGCTAGTTGGGGTGGAAGCATCAGAATTTTGACAGGATGTTGTTTGGAGTGGTTTCAGTAGCTTTGCAGATACCAAGAATTAGACTTGCGAAAGAAAGTGTGTTGAAGCTTGACGACATTTGTCAACTAGAGCTTTGCTAGCTAGCCTTAGCGCATGGCAGCCAATGCTTTTAGAGCGAGTCTAGATAAAGAAGCTTAAACTATTAACACGGAGAAGTGACTGAACCTGTTCGCATTACTACACTAGGTACTAAAACACGGGAGAATGGTGTAAGTATATCCAGGCATGCGAGGTAGAATGCTACTCATTCACCTGGATTATGGACTTCAACATCTGCTCCCTTGACAGGTAGAATTTAGCGATTGTAGGTGAGCAGACCGACAGGCTTCAGCCTTGCGAAATACCCCCTGAATGGTTCTGTTGTGGTTCCATGTGCATAACCATAATTTAAAAACGATCTCCTCACCAATCTAGGGAGAGTTGTGGTAGGGGTGTAGTGGAGATGTCAGCATGCGGAGGTCCCGTCAACTTGTGGTCTACCTAATAGGAACTGCGACTTGAAAATGGCAATGTCTGCAACACGCCCTACTTGGTTAGATCACGACTGTTTGCTGTACTCGGTACACCTCAATTGTCCGATGCCATTGTCGCCGTGATGAAAATCAATCGGTCTGCTTGGTTAACAAAACAGTATCGCAAAGCGGTGTGCAAGGGTGAATATATTTTCTGAGGCCTTTTTCGAATTGCGGTGTGCTTTGCTCCCTTTTTCGCAGCAAGCAAATTGGGTTTCGCCGTTATTGTGGCAGTGAATTAGTTCGCCGCTCTCCTTTCGTTGCACACGTTCCGATGGGAACCATACGCATTGGAGTGGCACAGTAGCGCGCTTGTCGGTAGCGATGGCATGGGTCTGTTCTAGCGGGGGATGGCTCCCTTGGCTCCTCGGTGCTTTAGCATACCGGCACCGATCGTGAACTGTTGCGTCTGTCCAGTTGATTCGCACTGCTCAGCAGATCCGCGGTGGCGATTCGTAGTGGGAATTGCCAGTGATAGTGATACTCATAATTACTGTAAGTACATAACAAAGTATGTACTACTTGTTGGCCATTGCAATGTCGTGATGGGTTTTGGCTGTCAAAATGCCGCGACGGCTAGGTATATGTCGGCGTTGCATTCGTGGCGTCCCCCGGGCCGCCTGAACGTGTCGTGGTCGGTCACATGTGCCGTCTCTCGTAGTCATCACGTAAAGCTAGCGAGCTCGGCGAGAATGCCCAGGCCCATTCTCCAGATTCAACATTTGTTGCGTCAATGGCGTCTTTCGTCAACTCCTGCCCTGATATTAGGGAGCCGAGAGAGCCTTCGTCTTCATCTCAATCAGAGGCTAAGCATAACCGATGGATGCCGCTAGGCGTCGCTGGGCAATCCTTCGAATGGGTTCCCGAACATGCCCTCGAAACTTTGCGCCAAGAGCCAAGCCAATAACAGCTGACAGTGGACAGTCAGCGGCGAGTAACTCGTCGCTCAGCTCAGTCTTGGTCCTTGGTCTTTAGTCATTGCGAAACACCGCGCCGCACACTTACTTACACTTACCGACACTGATGGCCCAAGCTTCATGGAAGGGTCCTGGCCGCCTGTTAGCTATGCAAGCAGCTCGGTTAGTCCGCCGTCTGATCTGGCCTACGCTCAACTATTGAGAGGCCGGTCGCGCGGTCCGCTATGTTCCCGTAACTTATTTGCTTGCTCGTCCGGCATTATGTAAGGTCAACAACCGCCTGAGTACATAGTAAATGGAGTGCGCGACCGTCAAAGTGATTCGTCCATCCCAAAGTGCAACCATTCATCTTGCTCTTTAGGTTGTTGATTTTCGCTGGTGAACTGGTCACTCTGCGCGAATCAATCGGTAGCCGACTGCCCGACTGCTGCAATTGATCGCTATGTCTGCGTCATGACCGTTGGTAGTCGAGGGTTGATTTGAGAACGAGCTGCGCTCACTTTTCTGCTGTTGCATCTCAATCTCGTCGGTTTTTGCTTTCTGGCTCGGTACCAATGCCTCGCGAAACTATGCTTTCAGCAGTTGTTAAGCGTTCATTCAAGTCTTATCGAGGCCATCAATGCGTCGTTGGCCGTGTCCAGTTCCCGGGTAGTTCGTCTTAGACCTGCATGCAAGGCATCATCTGCGAGAGTAGGAGAATCGTACCGGGACCCTCACAGCAAGCGGTTTGTTTACCTCGGGGGTACAGGAAGGATTGCGGTTCAGAGCAGCCGTAGCCCTGTCTTGCATATATTCGGGCAACTTTCCCTAGACGTCCCAGGAGCCAACCAGCCGATTATATTCGGGCGCCGTGTAAATCGTTATGGTCGACGACTAATGAGCTTGGAGCCTCTTGCTCGGGTCAATAGCTTTGGTCCTCGTACAAATCAACTCAATGGTCCAATCGACTTTTGCGCAATGACCAAGTATCAGCAATTTGGCTCATAGATGTTGGTGAGTTTCGTTCATCGTTTACCCCCTAGAAGGTGATAATATATCGGCAACCGCGGCCGTAGAGGCGGATAGTAGGATGCACGCCATGCCATAACGTAGTCGTCGGGTTTAGTGTTCAATCGCCACGTGTGTCTCGTCCATGCTTCTACACCGCTGCATCAAGAGCCTGGTTGGTTTTGTTTATTGTGAAATATATTATTTCGAGTTTCTCCGAAATAGGTCCTAGCACGTTCGCATGCATCGTCGAATCGGCGGTGTACGACAACGTCTCTGCTCGTAGGGTATACATATGCCCTGTCTCCGTGACACCGATTTCTCGTTGACTTGCAATTTGTCGAGACCGAGATGTGTTTCCTAGCTGTAGATGTGGGTGAGTTGTATGCAGGCATACGTCAATATGTCAGTAGGGAAGCGGGGATGGAAGACTTAGGCACTTCGTCAAGGAACCTACCATAACGGTACTTATCATTCATGGCATACGCAACTCAACACTGATAAGATCTGAAGCAAGTCCAAGAACGGGGGCCCGTAGGTTATGATATACCACCCGAGGAGAGGACAGAGTATCCAACTGTAATGGCGTGGGACTGGACAGCACATGCTTATTTTTAGGACAATCCAAATACTTATACGGCACGAACCGTCAGCCCTACACCGAAGGGCCATCAGGGTAGCCATCAAGGTATCGTTGGACTTGCCCATATTTGAATTCCACAAAGGTGACTGACCAATAGATTCACTGAAATCAGATAGGCAACCGGTTTATTCCCGAGCTACCTGCTCGCCTGCCTAATAAATAAATAGGATGAAGTGCAGTAGATATGGGCAATGCCAGTTGTCCTCTGATCATTACTATGTGGCGGGCGATTCCGCCACAAGTCTATATATAGACAGACTTGATGTCAATCAGATATCGCAACTTGTATTTGCATGCATGGCTTTTGGATAAAGATGTGTAACTCGCAAGATCAAATCAAGTCGCTTAACATGGAGCAAGTAACAAACATCTTCTTCCCCCACCATCATGGGTGATAAGCATTTATCATCATCGACAGATAAAGTAGACAGCAGAGAGTAAATGTGTGATTGATCCATGTTAGTTAGTTAGACAAAGAAGACTAAAACAATAGAGAGAGGACAAATGGCAAAATGGAAATTCGTTGGACGAACGGGGAATTGAACCCCGGACCCCTCCCAGACGCGCTGATTCGTATGAATCGTAAAGATGCGAAGGGAGTATCATACCCCTAGACCATTCGCCCGAAATCTGAATTGTGGGCTTCAATTGGCATTCATATCCTAAGCTGCCTGAGCCCCAAGATCATGTGACCTCGACAATAGTCGCAGCCAATCACCTGCTGCATAGGGGTGTACTGTACGAAGCTCGATGCTATTACTGTACATTTTACTGCTAGACGACTCAGGCATGCAACTGGGATGGTAAGCAGAGTGGCTCGTCAGACAGTGTTTGGAACCATGGACGCTCATCACTTTTCATAGTTGACACTTCATGTTCTTGACTCAATACGTTAAACAGACACGCGTGACCTTGCAGACCAATTGAGCTTGACTACCATCACTCCTTTTGACCATTGATGGGTGTGAAGCTGTTCTGCCATTGCTGCCTCGATGGCCGCCCCTGATAGCGGCGTCAGGCTTAGAGCATCAGGCGTTCTGTGAGTTCAACGTTTACCCCTGACTCGAGCTCTCAGCACACACACGATGGGCAGTCGACCAACCACCAACAACAAAATCGACGATTTGCTAACGAGACACCAGCTTCCTAGCTTCCTTCGCATGGCTTTCATATAATCTGGACAGAAATACCTTAATTAGTAGCTTTTCCGCTGCCGCCGGTTAACAAGCGCCTCTGCTGACAGAGCCACTCAGATCAACCGCGCCTCTCATCATTCTTGCTGCTACTCGTTTCCGGATCTGCGGCCTTTGCTGCCAGTCTGTTCACAGGTGCTGATGGAAGATTTGGTGAGTTCGCTTATTCGAACTTATTGCCGCAATCTCATCATTAACTTTCAATAGATTCAGATGCTGCCTTAAAGCTATCATCGTCCACTTTACCGCCGAGACCACGCCGATACTATGTGCCATGTATCATTATTCTCGTTCTTGTGAGGCTCGAGCTCTCATACAGAGCCTTGCATGACTTCCAATGCGCCGCTGCAGGCATCGAGGTAAGTATCTTATTATCACTCGGTCATAATGCCCTACGACTAATCGACACAACAGGCATTCTTGCCATCGCTGTTCGCTGCGTACAAGTTCTTTTCACATCGCGTACCGCCGACTGTCTCAGATGAACCTGAAGACATGTGGGGAAGCTGGCAGGAGGACTTGAAAGCCTGGCTCGCCGGCTCGCCTATCATGCTGCTCGTTGCGACAGTTCTTGTTAGCTACGGGACGTTTGCGGCCAGCAACTTGACATTGCGATCAACCTACTTCTGCTCTCCCTTGCTAGATTCAGGATCGCTCGTTGTGTTCATACAATGGATCAATCTCTTCGTGGACGCACTCATCCTCATACTTCTATGGAGAGTCCTTTCTTGGGCGCGGACTACGAGGAGTCGACTGCGCACTCTCGGTGGCATATTACTGGTTGCATCTTTTGCAACCTGCGTACCCCTAATAGGAACCCAGCTCTCACTTCGTGGCCAGATCATCGGACATCAATCCCTTATAGGGGTCTATCCTTTCCACATTGCCGATACTCTCAGCACCAGCATGTTTGTGGCCCCCCTAGTGATATCAGGATCTTTGATGTTGTGCGACGCGTCGCCTCTTGAGCCAACCACGATTGCTACATTTATATATGGCTTGATAACCTCCATAAGTAGTACGGTTCTTATTGGTACCTATCGGCAAACATCCTCGATGCAGCCGCTGCTCGGCTTCGGGTCGATCTCCTTTGGGTTTGTCATCTTTACCTATACTAACAGTATGAGATCAATCGTTCTGTTCAAACGCGTCTATCTCATAATATTGCTCCTCTTCGTTAGTGCCAATTTGGTTCTCTACGCCACCCTTATACCAACGCTGTTCAAGCATCATCCGGTTGATGACCTTGTCTACAGGAGCCGCATAGAAGCGGATCGATGGCTGAGGCATGCCACAGTCAGCACCACGCTTAAGCTTGCAGTTCAGGAATATGGAGAACGGCACAGTGGACGGAAGCCTCCACAGAACTTTGATAAATGGTTCGAGTTTGCCAAGCTGAAGAAGTCGGTTGTCATCGATAAATTTGACCAGATGGAGACAGACGTCTTGCCATTCTGGGGCTTGAAGCCGCAAGAGATTCGAGATGGCCTTCAGTTCCTCAAGACGCAGCCGAACATTGGCATCGTCGTTATCGACCAGGGCAAGGCGACGCACGCAGGCGCAACCGATTCTTCACAACAAGAGATAATGGACGAGATTGTGACAATAATATCTGCCTTTGCGGAACATCTTCCGGCGATGGAGCTTGCTATAAATCTGCAGGAACGGCCGAGGGTTCTCGTCCCGTCGATGGACATGCGTACAATACAATTAAGGGCCACAGCTCAACGGGCGTTCAAGCGTGACTCCAACCGACTGGGCATACGTGATACTCCAGATACATCTGCGCCCGAGGATAACGAAAGCAACAAGCGAACTGCACCAGCGACAGGAGCAGCGGATACAGGACCTATGTTTGTCCCCACGGAGCAATTCCGCAATCTCGAGGCTCGCGCTTGCCCGTTCGGCTCGCCCGTTCGTGATGGTTATGATTGGAATATGAGAGACTTCTGTGCCTCATGCGCCGCACCCCAAAGCAAGCACCAATTCCTTGCGAACTGGCAAAAGGCGCTCGACCCGTGCTATCAGCCCGACATCTTCCATCTTCACGACTTCCACACAACCCCACATCGATTCGAGGTGTATCAGAAATTGCTTCCCCTTTTCAGTGGCTCGAAGACGACTACTTTCAGCGATCTTTTGATTCCCTTTACACGGGGTGGTTTCAAGAAGGAGTTCGAGACTACGGCGTTCAATCAAAAGCAGGACATAGTCCTATGGCAAGGCAACGTCGAAGACATGCCCACACCAACTCATGAGTCGCTTCACGGCAGCCACCGACTGCGCCTAGTCCACATGCTTCAGAACGCCACTTCCGCAGATAGTGTTCCCATGCTCTTAGGTATAGGAGCAGGGAAGGACAGCCGGTTCCGCTACGAAGACGTACCTACTACCGAGGCCAACAGCATCTTACCCTTACAGTTCTCCCTGACCGGTCCCCCAGAAGGCTGCAAAGACGCCCACTGCGAGCTCCTGCGAGACGAATTCGGACTCCAGGAGCCAGCCACCGAGGTCGACAGCCGCTACGTGATGCTCCTCGACTCGAGCGACGGCCCGCCGCGGGAGCTGCAGAAGGTGCTGCACTCCAACAGCGTGCCGGTGCTGTCATCGATCTTCCAGCAGTGGTTCACGGAGCGGCTGATGCCGTGGGTGCACTTCGTGCCGATCGACCTGCGGTACCACGCGCTGCACAGCACCCTGTCGTACTTCATCGGGCTGGACGGCCGCGGCACGCTCAATGGACGCAAGCAGGTCACGCCGGAACGGGCGGAGGATGCGAAGTGGATCGCGCATCAGGGCCGCAAGTGGGCCGAGACGGCGATGAGGAAGGAGGACATGGAGGTGTATTTGTTCAGGCTGTTGCTGGAATGGGGACGGGTGATTGATGAGAAGAGGGATGAGATGGGGTTTGTGTTGAAGGAGGCGTAGATTGAAAAGTATCTGACTAAAATATGGGTATTACCTACCGAGACAAGATTACTGTATCATATATATATAACTTCTCTTTGAGGATCATAGATATGGGAAACAGAAACCATCAATGGGCACCTTGGGCAGACATCTCAAGATGATGGGAATCGTTAATAGACCACCGGCAGCAACTGCACTCCAGCACTGGGCAGGGCGGCCTGGAGGCCTAGATGCTGAGGTTATTGGTTGTACATATTCGATATAGGCATACATCAGCCCCTCGTGTGCATGGGGCTCTTGCGAATAACGAGTGTATGACGTAAGTGCTCTGCCCAGCACCTACCCAGCAAGTTAGCTTGAGCTGTCACCCATCAGACGACGCGCTAGCTCTCTTCAGCTCAGCTCACAGCTCACTCACAGTTAGAAGTGAGGCTATGTCACTGCAGCGCTTCCCCACCACATCCGAACTCCAGCATCCTGCAGCATCCTGCCCAATACATTACCTCGATCAACTACCTACCCAAAAGCGTTGCCTAATATCAGCCAATGATCCGACCTGCCACCATTGCGGTTCGTGCCCGGCGAAAACAAGTTCGACATACATTTACAGTCAGCTGCTATTCATGAAGCATCCCACTGACAGCACACACATATAACCCCCCATCCAATCGACTGTCGCAGGCCCGAGGCTTGTAGCCTGTAGTCTCAGTCTGAAGCTTGTACATACGAACATACGAACACACGCCGCCAAGCCTCGCACAATGGCCGTCATCGACCAGGACAACTTCTCCAACATCTCGTGGCAGAGCGACGCCGCCTCTCCCGCCGACCCGCGCGGACCGCTGCCCAACATCGAAGCCGAGTCGCCCACCAGCGAGGACCAGCATCATGGCCAGAAGCTGCAGCAGCAGGATCCCGGCCTGTCCGGCGACATACTCGATTGCACCGTCTCCGAGCCGCACAAGGAGAGCGACGGCACCAAAGACGCTTTTGTGTCATATCTAATTACTTCTAATGTACGCGACGTTCCACCTCCTCGCCATCACCTCCGTTTGCCTGTCACTCACCACTAACTGATATCCTTCTAGTCTACCTTCCCTTCCTTCCAGAAACCTACCTTCACCGCCCGTCGCCGATTCACCGATTTCCTTTTCCTCTCCAAGACTCTGTCCAAAGACTACCCCGCCTGTGCCGTCCCCCCGTTACCAGACAAGCAGCGCATGGAATATGTCCGGGGCGACCGCTTCGGGCCCGACTTCACAAACCGCCGCGCCTACTCGCTGCAGCGCTTCCTCAGGCGCATAACCCTTCATCCCATCCTGCGGCGCGCACCCATCCTGCACACCTTCCTCGAGTCGCCCGACTGGAATGCCACGATGAGGTCTCGCGCCGGTAGGGTGAGCGTGACCTCAGACCAGGGGAGCAGCGGCGTATTCGACAACTTCGCCGACACCTTCATCAACGCCTTCACCAAGGTGCACAAGCACGACAAGCGGTTCATCGAGGTGCAGGAGAAGAGCAG